TATAAATCTATAGGGGAAGGAAGGAGGGGTAGGGGTCGTCCTCGAAAGGGTTGGAAAGAGGGGTAAAGGAGGTTTTGTGGGCTAGGGGCTTGGACTTCCAGCAAGCGTGCATGAGCGTATTAGATAGGAGTGAATGGAGGCGAATGATACTTGGGACCTGACGATCTGTTGGAGTGTGAGCAGGGTAATATTTAGTGAAGGGATTCAGGGAAACCGGTTATTTTTCATATAGTCGGACTTGAGTCCTGGAAATGGGAAGTATAATGCCTGCACTTTAAAGGAGGGGTTTGGGATATTGGCAGTTTGGAGGGATATGTTGTGTATCTTTATACGTATATGCTTCTGAACTGTTGTATTCTGAGCACCTCTGCAAAAGCAGTGATAATGTGTGAGTGTGGTGAAAGTGTTGAATGATGATGAAAGTATTTTCTTTTTGGGGATTTTCTTTTTTTTTTGGGTCACCCTGCCTCGGTGGGAGACGGCCGACTTGTTGAAAAAAAAAAAAAAAAAAAAAAAAAAAAATAAATATATATAATATATATATATATATATATATATATTTTATATATATATATATATATTACATTATTGTGACCACGAACAAGTGGTATTGATCAATGCACTAGCCAAGAACTCGAACCCATGCTGCTTTGGCCTGCCTCATGGTGGGCGAAAACGTATGACGCCCTAATCCACTGGACCATATGATCCTTACAAGTAGGGCATCCAGCGGAACTGGATGTTGTACTCCCTACCCAAGGACACACGATGGTGTGGATGACTCTAAACTAACATCATTCTAGTCCATGTACAACATCCAGTTCCGCTGGATGCCCTACTTGTAAGGATCGTATGGGGCCAGTTGGATTAGAGCGTCATGCGTTTTCGCCCACCATGAGGCAGGCCAAAGCTGCATGGGTTCGAGTCCTTGGCTAGTGCAGTGTTGTTATTGATATATATTATATATATATATATATATATATATATATATATATATATATATTATATATATATTATATATGTCGTGCCGAATAGGCAGAACTTGCGATCTTGGGTTAAATAGCAACGCTCATCTTGCCATATAGGACAAGTGAAAATTTGTGTATGCAATAATTTCGCCAAAAAACATTCTGAACCTAACGAAAAAAATATATTTCACTGTGTTTGTTTAGTATTAAATTACTGTAAACAAATCTAAAATATATTTAGTTGGGTTAGGCTAAAATAAATTGCGCTTGTTATAATAAGGTTAGGTAAGTTTTCTAAATTCCTTTTGGTGCAAATTTATAAATTTTTACATCAATATTAATGAAAAAATATATCTTTAAACGTATAAGAGAAAATTTTAGAAAGGATTTAATTTTAAATGAGTTCTTGCTAATTGACCAGTTTTACATATTCGGCACGACATATATATATATATATATATATATATATATATATATATATATATATATATATATATATATATATATATATAATAAGAATAGAGAGAGAGAGAGAGAGAGAGAGAGAGAGAGAGAGAGAGAGAGAGAGGAGAGAGAGGAGAGGAGAGAGAGAGAGAGAGAGAGAGAGAGAGAGAGAGAGAGAGAGAGAGAGAGAGAGAGAGAAATGTAAATTTTCAGAAACATTATTTTAAGTTATTATATTAACGTTAGTAAGCCTGGAGGTATCAGTACAACATCAACATGCAACATGAAAGAGGTGGAAGGGTAAGCCAGCGGAAGGTCTGTCAGATGACCAATGGCTCCAGACTAAGATCCGCATTTCCTGCCAAACTTTACCTAACCCACTGGCATGCCCAAGAAGATAAGGGATTAGATACTGGTGTGCAAAACGTCTATTGTACCCTGGGGTACAATAGGAATTAATTATTAACCTTATCTTTAGGCCACAGATCTGCCATTTAGCTTATATGTTGATGGTAACTAGTCACCACCAGCACGAGGGGTTATATTCCAGGGAGGTATTTATTGTTTTGCGTGTGTGTATTCACCTAATTGTACTCACCAAATTGTGGTTGCAGGGATAGATTCATAGCTCCTGGTTCCGTATCTTCACTGGTTGCTACTAGGTCCTCTCTCTCCCTGCTCTATGAGTTTTATCATGCCTCATCTTAAAACTATGCATGGATCCTGCCTCCGCTACATCACTTTCCAGTCTATTCTATTTCCTGACAACTCTATGGCTGAAGAAATACTTCCTAACATCCTTCTGTGTGTGTGTGTGTGTGTGTGTGTGTGTGTGTGTGTGTGTGTGTGTGTGTGTGTGTGTGTGTTTATTCAAGCTTATGGAAGAAATCACAACAAAACGCATGATTGTAAATATGAAAAAAATACAACAGTGAAAATAGGAAATAAAACCTGACCGCTGTAATGTACTTACACATATCTTGAGAAATTTCCTTATTCGAGCATATGTTTTCACTGTCCAGGTATTTTTACTGAATGATCATTGACAACACCACGTGTGTTCAGTGTGACCAGATGCGAGTTGATGGGTTATGATAATGTTATCTATTGATGTGGCCTTGAGAGGAGAGACTTCCACCTGTTGCTTCACATCACGGTCCCCGTCAACCTCTTGTCGTCCATCTTATCACCACTTCGAACCCCGTACCGGCTTGCAAGATGTTGGAACCCTATCCGTTCCCTAGAGTTCATGAAGGTTTTACCTCCAAGATGGGAAAGTTTATGGAATCAATAATTGCCGAGGCAATTCGTAGCCATCTTGAAAGGTATAAATTGATAAATGAATCTCAACACGGTTTTACAAAGGGGCGTTCCTGTCTTACGAATTTACTAACTTCCTTCACTAAGGTATTTTGTGGAGGTAGATCATGGTAATGAATATGATATTGCGTATATGAACTTCAGTAAGGCTTTCGATAAAGTTCCACATCAGAGGCTGTTGAGGAAATTTAAGGCACACGGAATAGGAGGAGAAATTTTTTCCTTGGTAGAGGCATGGTTGACAAATAGGCAGCAGAGAGTTTGCATAAATGGAGATAAATCAAAATGGGGGCACGTGACAAGGGGTATTCCACATGGGTCAGTGTTGGGCCCCTTGTTGTTCACAATTTACATAAACGATATAGATGAGGGAATAAATAGCGACATAAGCAAATTTGTTGATGACATCAAAATAGGGCGTCCAGTTCATTCTAATGAGGACATTAGAGCACTCCAGGAAGATTTTAATAGACTGATGCAATGGTCGAAGAAGTGGCAGATGCAGTTTAATAACGACAAATGCAAAGTTCTAAATGTTGAACAGGAAAATAACCATGCCACATATATACTAAATAATGTAGATCTTGATATTACTGATTGCGAAAAGGATTTAGGAGTTCTGGTTAGCAATAATCTGAAACCAAGACAACAGTGCGTATGTGTTCGCAATAAAGCTAACAGAATCTTTGGCTTCATAAATAGAAGTATAAATAACAGGAGTCCTCAGGTCGTTCTTCAACTCTATATATCTTTGGTTAGGCCTCATTTACATTATGGTGCACAGTTCTGGTCACCGTATTACAGAATGGATATAAATGCTCTGGAAAACGTACAGAGGAGGATGACAAAGTTGATCCCATGTATCAGAAATCTTCCCTATGAGGATAGACTGAGGGCTCTGAATCTGCACTCTCTCGAAAGGCATAGAATTAGGGAATATATGATAGAGATGTATAAATGGAAAACAGGAATAAATAAAGGGAATGCAAATAGCCTGCTAAAAATATCTAGCCAAGACAGGACTCATAGCAATGGTTTCAAGTTGGAAAAATTCAGATTCAAGAAGGATATAGGAAAGCACTGGTTTGTTAATAGAGTTGTGGATGAATGGAACAAACTCCCGAGTACCGTCATAGAAGCTAAAACGTTGTGCAGTTTCAAAAATAGGTTAGATAAATACATGAGTGGGTGTGGGTATGTGTGAGTTGGACCTGACTAGCTTGTGCTGCTAGGTCAGATGCCATGCTCCTTTCTTAAGTGAATGTGACCTAGACCTAACTAGGTTGGGTCAGTGACATAAGCCGGTAGGTGACTTGGACCTGCCTCGCATGGGCCAGTAGGCCTGCTGCAGTGTTCCTTATTTCTTATGTTCTTATATCGTCTATCTCCTAGTGAATCCCGAGGTGCTGTAACAAGAGTATGCAGACCGTCACTATCTGGAGGAATATAATCTATTAGAAATATGATAAAGGCTGTTGATGATTTTGAGCGTTGTTATGAAGGCTGAAAGTCACTTAGTAAGGTCACTTAGCAAGGTCACTTCTTAACTTTAAGGAGGAAATTCTTCACTGTTGTTGGTGACATCTATACTGAACGACTTATAACCGCTATCAAACTTCATTATCTCTGCATTTATCACACTGGTTTGCCAATTTTCATTGGTATCGAATACCTCCTGGGTCACGTTGTAGCACAGGCCTCCTGGGCTCGCTTAGAATACCTATTATGTGTAATTTCAGCCTTAACGTAGTCGTTGTTACGCGGTGTTTCCCACACCGGCCCAATTAACCAGGTAATGGAACAACATGAACCCAGACAAAGTAATGGACACTCTGGTACGTTGTTGAGTGGTAATATTTTGTCTAGTTCTTTCCATTGTGTCTCTGGATGATGAAGGAACTGAAGAATCATGAAGGGCTCTTGAGTCAAGGAATTTTAGCCTATACAGTGGACCCCCGCATAACGATTACCTCCGAATGTGACTAATTATGTAAGTGTATTTATGTAAGTGCGTTTGTACGTGTATGTCTTGGGGTCTGAAATGGACTAATCTACTTCACAATATTTCTTATGGGAACAAATTCGGTCAGTACTGGCACCGGAACATACTTCTGGAGTGAAAAAATATCGTTAACCGGGGGTCCACTATAATTGTTCCCTATCCTTGGGTCAAACCTGATTACCTTCTTTTCCCATGGTGCTGTATGATCCCTGGGAACCATACAGCAACAGCATCAACTAATAGTAATGAGAAGGGAGAGCTGTTACCTGTGTACTGGAGAGCCGCATGCGGCCCAGCACCAGCCTGCGGATGAGCAGAGGCAGTAGAGAGACAGCAAGCGTTGTGGCTGTCATGGTCACCAGAACCACTGCCTTCGTCTCAGCTAGACTCAGCATCTTGCTGCTTTGCTGTTTTAACTGTGGCACTTACTGCTGCTGCAGCAGTTGCTGCTGTTATTGGTAGCTGTTCAACCCTGCTGCTGCTGCTTTACCTGCTGCTGCTAGGGACAAAAATAAAAATGAATGGCGTATAGGCTTATACAAGCTTGTCATAAACCTTATATGTCTTCGTAGTCATCATTGAGAATTCCCAAAACATATACAAGGAGTATAAATATTTATGGTCCACTAATTGTGATTCAAAATAAGGCTTAGCTTGAATTAAATAGTCCAGCTCTGTGAGTGAAATATTATAGACAAATTGTTACTGGGGAGAGGCATAAAAAGCTAGAGGCCTTTCGCATACAATAATCTTTTATCAGGAGCTTTATGGGGAAGTGGAGCCCTGTTAGACGAAAAGTCAGAATTTAATGTTAAATTTGAAGACAATAGTCCTTTGCCCTTTTAAGAGTTTGTGATTGTTGAAAAGGAAGACAAGAAAACGAGGAATTGTAATTGAAAATTAGATGTTTACTAATGTTTGTATCCATGTGTTTTGTTGTTCGTCACGTCATGGCAGAGTTATTTATTAAGTGTTCTGTTCCATGTTCTTGACTGCCCTGCAGAGTTGTCTGTTCAGTGTTCTGTTCCATGTTCTTGACTGCCCTGCAGAGTTGTCTGTTCAGTGTTCTGTTCCATGTTCTTGACTGCCCTGCAGAGTTGTCTGTTCAGTGTTCTGTTCCATGTTCTTGACTGCCCTGCAGAGTTGTCTGTTCAGTGTTCTGTTCCATGTTCTTGACTGCCCTGCAGAGTTGTCTGTTCAGTGTTCTGTTCCATGTTCTTGACTGTCCTGCAGAGTTGTCTGTTCAGTGTTCTGTTCCATGTTCTTGACTGCCCTGCAGAGTTGTCTGTTCAGTGTTCTGTTCCATGTTCTTGACTGCCCTGCAGAGTTGTCTGTTCAGTGTTCTGTTCCATGTTCTTGACTGTCCTGCAGAGTTGTCTGTTCAGTGTTCTGTTCCATGTTCTTGACTGCCCTGCAGAGTTGTCTGTTCAGTGTTCTGTTCCATGTTCTTGACTGCCCTGCAGAGGTGTCTGTTCAGTGTTCTGTTCCATGTTCTTGACTGCCCTGCCCTGCAGAGGTGTCTGTTCAGTGTTCTGTTCCATGTTCTTGACTGCCCTGCAGAGGTATCTGTTCAGTGTTCTGTTCCATGTTCTTGACTGCCCTGCAGAGGTGTCTGTTCAGTGTTCTGTTTCATGTTCTTGACTGCCCTGCAGAGTTGTCTGTTCAGTGTTCTGTTCCATGTTCTTGACTGCCCTGCAGAGGTGTCTTTTCAGTGTTCTGTTCCATGTTCTTGACTGCCCTGCAGAGTTGTCTGTTCAGTGTTCTGTTCCATGTCTTGACTGCCCTGCAGAGTTGTCTGTTCAGTGTTCTGTTTCATGTTCTTGACTGTCCTGCAGAGTTGTCTGTTCAGTGTTCTGTTCCATGTTCTTGACTGCCCTGCAGAGTTGTCTGTTCAGTGTTCTGTTCCATGTTCTTGACTGTCCTGCAGAGTTGTCTGTTCAGTGTTCTGTTCCATGTTCTTGACTGCCCTGCAGAGGTGTCTGTTCAGTGTTCTGTTCCATGTTCTTGACTGCCCTGCAGAGGTATCTGTTCAGTGTTCTGTTCCATGTTCTTGACTTCCCTGCAGAGTTGTCTGTTCAGTGTTCTGTTCCATGTTCTTGACTGCCCTGCAGAGTTATCTGTTCAGTGTTCTGTTCCATGTTCTTGACTGCCCTGCAGAGTTGTCTGTTCAGTGTTCTGTTCCATGTTCTTGACTGCCCTGCAGAGTTGTCTGTTCAGTGTTCTGTTCCATGTTCTTGACTGCCCTGCAGAGTTATCTGTTCAGTGTTCTCCATGTTCTTGACACCTCCAAGTGATACTCTCCCACCATAGACAACGAAGGAATGTGGATACATCAAACATCCAGTGACCTAACATGTCGCAAAACAACCAGTGACCTAACATGTCGCAAAACACCCAGTGACCTAACATGTCGCAAAACATCCAGTGACCTAACATGTTCAAACAATCCAGTGACCTAACATGTCGCAAAACATCCAGTGACCTAACATGTCGCAAAACATCCAGTGACCTAACATGTCGCAAAACATCCAGTGACCTAACATGTCGCAAAACATCCAGTGACCTAACATGTCGCAAAACATTTCATTGATAAATCTCTGAAAAAGAAAACTAATAGGCACATATTCTACTAGTCTCCCTCCCACGTAAAAATAATACAAGAGAATATACCAGGGCATATATCCCACTCAACGATCTATTATTCTGAACGTCTCACCTGAATTTCCCCAAAATTCCAACTGTTTTGAAAAGAAATATAACGCCACTAGTCAGTGTAAGGATCTAGAATTTACAAAATATATATTCATAAAAGATTTCGCGACTTTTTTTAAATAAACGAGTATGGAAGATGCAGCCTATGAGAGTGAAGTTTTGTATAGTGTAGATCTGAAAAACTTGATTTAATTAGTCGAATGTTTAAAATGACTTAGTTTCTATTGACTGTTATATGTGTATATGTGATTAGGAGGGGTGTTAAGGGGTGTGGCAAGACAGTGATAGAGTGAATGATGGTGAAAGTTTTTCTTTTTCGGGCCACCCTTGCTATTTTTGATATATGTGAACGACATGATGGAAGGAATAGACTCTGAAGTGTCCCTGTTCGCAGATGACGTGAAGCTGATGAGAAGAATTAAATCGGACGAGGATGAGGCAGGACTGCAAAGAGACCTGGAGAGGCTGGACATGTGGTCCAGTAACTGGCTTCTCGAATTCAATCCAGCCAAATGCAAAGTCATGAAGATTGGGGAGGGGCAAAGAAGACCGCAGACAGAGTATAGGCTAGGTGGACAAAGACTACAGACCTCACTCAGGGAGAAAGACCTTGGGGTGACCATAACACCGAGCACATCACCGGAGGCACACATCAACCAAATAACCGCTGCAGCATACGGGCGCCTGGCAAACCTGAGAATAGCGTTCCGATACCTTAATAAGGAATCGTTCAAGACACTGTCAACTGTGTATGTTAGGCCATTCTGGAGTATGCAGCACCAGTCTGGAACCCACACCTGGTCAAGCACGTCAAGAAGTTAGAGAAAGTACAAAGGTTTGCAACAAGGCTAGTCCCAGAGCTCAAGGGAATGTCATACGAGGAAAGGTTAAGGGAAATCGGACTGACGACACTGGAGGACAGAAGGGTCAGGGGAGACATGATAACGACATACAAGATACTGCGGGGAATAGACAAGGTGGACAGAGATAGGATGTTCCAGAGAGGGGACACAGGGACAGGGGTCACAACTGGAAGCTGAAGACTCAGACGAGTCACAGGGACGTTAGGAAGTATTTCTTCAGTCATAGAGTTGTCAGCAAGTGGAATAGCCTAGCAAGTGAAGTAGTGGAGGCAGGAACCATACATAGTTTTAAGAAGAGGTATGACAAAGCTCAGGAAGCAGAGAGAGAGAGGATCCAGTAGCGATCAGTGAAGAGGCGGGGCCAGGAGCTGAGTCTCGACCCCTGCAACCACAATTAGGTGAGTACAATTAGGTGAGTACACACACACACACACACACACACACACACACACACACACACACACACACACACACACACACACACACACATACACACACATAATGGAACAGGATTGATGACAAGAATGAGAGGGTAGCTCCAAATCCTTTTATCAAGAGCCCTGACCAGTATTAAGGCACTCCTACTCCCATGCCTTGATGAAAGTGATTTTACAGAGAGTAACGACCTTGGGAGTGATCCAAAGTGACTAGATGATTACTGGAGATAACGACCACCAGGACCCTCCCAGGTGGGTACCATGATGCTACTCAAATGGGTTCTTAATTCCGGGAACATATATATGCACTGCCCCCTCTCCTCTTCCTTGGATCAAACATGATAATGCCTTTACCTCCAGACGCTATATGACCAACGGGATTATCACTTCTATGAAAGTTTGAAGATAATAATAATAATAATAGCAATAATAATAATGATTATACAATAATAATAATAATAATAATAATAATAATAATAATAATAATAATAATAATAATAATATAATAATAATAATAATAATAATAATAATAATAATAATAATAATAATAATAATAATAATAATAATAATAATAATAATAACAATAATAATAATGATTATACAATAATAATAATAATAATAATAATAATAATAATAATAATAATAAATAATAATAATAATATAATAATAATATTAATAATAATAATAATAATAATAATAATATAATAATAATAATAATATAATAATAATAATAATAATAATAATAATAATAATAATAATAACAAACAATCACAACAAGCAATCGAAAATACCAAATTGATAAGATAACTACCTAACAAGATAACCACAACTGGTTATCGAGACAACGAGTGAAGACAACCCAGATTACCTAGTGCTTGGACTCACCTGGTGCTCGAGTCACTAGCCCAACTAGGGAACCTACAAGCTCACCCTGGGAACCTACTAGCCCACCTTGGGAACCTACTAGCCCACCTCGGGAACCTACAAGTACACCTTGGGAACCTACTAGCCCACCTTGGGAACCTACTAGCCTACCTTAGGAACCTACAAGTCCACCTTGGGAACCTACTAGCCTACCTTAGGAACCTACAAGTCCACCTTGGGAACCTACTAGCCCACCTTAGGAACCTACAAGTCCACCTTGGGAACCTACTAGCCCACCTTGGGAACCTACAAGTCCACCTTGGGAACCTACTAGCCCACCTTGGGAACCTACTAGCCCACCTTGGGAACCTACAAGCCCACCTTGGGAACCTACAAGTCCACCTTGGGAACCTACTAGCCCACCTTGGGAACCTACAAGTCCACCTTGGGAACCTACTAACCCACCTTGGGAACCTACTAGCCCACCTTGGGAACCTACAAGTCCACCTTGGGAACCTACTAGCCCACCTTGGGAACCTAAAAGTTCACATTGGGAACCTACTAGCCCACCTTGGGAACCTACAAGTCCACCTTGGTAACCTACTAGCCCACCTTGGGAACCTACTAGCCCACCTTGGGAACCTACAAGCCCAACTTGGGAACCTACAAGTCCACCTTGGGAACCTACTAGCCCACCTTGGGAACCTACAAGTCCACCTTGGGAACCTACTAACCCACCTTGGGAACCTACTAGCCCACCTTGGGAACCTACAAGTCCACCTTGGGAACCTACTAGCCCACCTTGGGAACCTAAAAGTTCACATTGGGAACCTACTAGCCCACTTTGGGAACCTACAAGTCCACATTGGGAACCTACTAGCCCACCTTGGGAACCTACTAGCCCACCTTGGGAACCTACAAGCCCACCTTGGGAATCTACTAGACTACCTTGAGAACCTACTAGCCCACCTTGGGAACTTACTAGCCCACCTTGGGAACCTTCCAGGCCACCTTGGGAACCTACAAGTCCACCTTGGGAACCTACAAGTCCACCTTGGGAACCTACTAGCCTACCTTGGGAACCTACTAGCCCACCTTGGGAACCTACAAGCCCACCTTGGGAACCTACTAGCCTATCTTGGGAACCTACTAGCCCACCTTAGGAACCTTCCAGGCCACCTTGGGAACCTACAAGCCCACCTTGGGAATCTACTAGACTACCTTGGGAACCTACAAGCCCACCTTGGGAACCTACAAGCCCACCTTGGGAACCTACAAACTCACCTTGGAAACCTACAAGCCCACCTTGGGAACCTACAAGCCCACCTTGGGAACCTACAAGCCCACCTTGGGAACCTACAACCTCACCTTGATAACCTACAAGCCCACTTGGGAACCTACAAGCTCACACTGAGAATCTACTAGCCCACCTTGAGAACATACTAGACCACCTCGAGAACCTACTAACCAACCTTGGGAACCTACAAGTCCACCTTGGGAACCTGCTAACCCACCTTGGGAACCTTCTGGCTTATCTAAGGAACCTAATAGCCCATCTTGGGAACCTACTAGCTCACCTCGAGAACCTACTAGCCCACTTGGGAACCTACAAGCCCACATTGGGAATCTGCTAGCCCACCTTGAGAATCTACTAACCCACCTTGGGAACCTACTAACCCACCTTGAGAACCTACTAACCCACCTTGAGAACCTACTAACCCACCTTGAGAACCTACTAACCAACCTTGGGAGCCTACAAGCCCACCTTGGAATCCTACCAACAGAGCTTGGGAACCTTCTGGCTTACCTAAGGAACCCAATAACCGATCTTGAGAACCTACTAGCCCACCTTGGAAACCTACTAGCCACTTTGGGAATCTAATAGCCCACCTTGGAAACCTACTAGCCCACCTTGGAAACCTAGTCCACCTTGGGAACATACTAGCCCATCTTGGGAACCTACTAGCCCACCTTGGAAACTTAGTCCACCTTGGGAACCTACTAGCCCATCTTGGGAACCTACTAGCCCATCTTGGGAACCTACTAGCCCATCTTGGGAACCTACTAGCCCACCATGGAAACCTAGCCCACCTTGGGAACCTACTAGCCCACCTTGGGAACCTACTAGCCCATCTTGGGAACCTACTAGCCCACCTTGGGAACCCACAAGACCACCTTGGAAACCTACTAGCCCACCTTGGAAACCTACTATATATCACGATTACTAATTACAAGATTCCCATGGAATTTTGTAACTTTTGATAATGAAATGTCGTTCGTGTCATGACTCTGGCGTCGTCAGTCTGAATAATGCCATAAACACAAGAATATTGTTTACTGTTTCTTTAATCGACACGGGAGGACATCCGACAGCCTTGTGATGATTATTGACAGGTTATAAGGGTCACAACTGCTTACTATATTGTTTGTGACGCTAATGGGTTTACCCGTTGCGGTTGCCTTGTTAATCGCTTGTTTGCGATTGCTGCAATATCTCTGGATTGATAACGTCCCTGGTGGGCGAAACGTCTTCTCAATATATGTCATTAACCAGATTAGTTCTAATACCAGAAACATTCTTTTTAGTGTCCAAAGATTTTCACCTGACGTAGATGATGCCTTTTCCTGAGCAGAGTGACATACCATGACTGATTACCTGTTATCAGACGACACTGCTTGCACCGCCTTCCTTCCCAACTCCGACTTAGGAACAGCTCCTCTAAACCAACTTCTTTCGGTTTGATCGAATCCAAAACAATTGGAATAAGTGCCTTTAATGACTTGTCGCCTGAGGAAACTGCACAGGTATCGCAAACGAGATGTATTCTGAATAACATACAGAATACACCTTGGGGATCAGTAGAGGTGTATACCCGCAGTGGCTCTGCTCACAACTGTGACGTCTACCGCAACAATGTTCAATGTTGAGACTATCTCTCTCTGTCTTATCACATACCTGACTATATTACCCTTAACTTGTGTCTGTTGTCGCCTGTCTTTCGCTCAGAACACAACCTCATGTCGCCTATAACAGGGTTATTAAGCCGGTTAATGCTACTACGCATATCAGATTGGCTGGTTAATGGGGATTAAAGCCTGTCTACTATACGAGGGTCATTAAAAGGCTGTGTGGTACCTGTTCAACACCAGTCAAGAATACTTAAATAAAACAAGAATTAAAATTTCCAGTACACATACACTGAGACATACGCCTCTCGGTAGGTGGGTTAATAAGGTTTGAAGCCTATCGACTACATGAGGGTCGTCAAGGCTGCATGTCACCCGTTCGCCACCAGTCATGAATACTTTGATGTCTAAAACAGGGATTTAACTCTCAGTGTGTATACACAGACATAAACCTTCCGGTGTGTATATACAAAGATATTAGCATCTCAGTGTATATACACTACCACGTGACTCTCATTATACATATATACAGTAAGACAAAATATATACAGTAAGACAACATATATACAGTAAGACAAAATATATACAGTAAGACAACATATATACAGTAAGACAAAATATATACAGTAAGACAACATATATACAGTAAGACAACATATATACAGTAAGACAAAATATATACAGTAAGACAACATATATACAGTAAGACAAAATATATACAGTAAGACAACATATATACAGTAAGACAACATATATACAGTAAGACAAAATATATACAGTAAGACAACATATATACAGTAAGACAAAATATATACAGTAAGACAAAATATATACAGTAAGACAACATATATACAGTAAGACAAAATATATACAGTAAGACAAAATATATACAGTAAGACAAAATATATACAGTAAAGACAACATATATACAGTAAGACAAAATATATACAGTAAGACAAAATATATACAGTAAGACAAAACCTTGTCGGTGTATGATTATCAGTTTTAATAAACATTATTTACGTTTACTGTATAAACAGGTAATAAAATTATTATTATTATTATTATTATTATTATTATTATTATTATTATTATTATTAGTAGTAGTAGTAGTAGTAGTAGTAGTAGTAATTATTATTATTACTATTATTATTATTATTATTATTTAGTTGTAGTAATTATTATTATTACTATTATTATTATTATTATTAGTAGTAGTAGTAGTAGTAGTAATTATTATTATTATTACTATTATTATTATTATTATTATAATCATGGAGGAGCTCTAAACCCGTAGGATTATACAGCGTCTGTGGGGGGGGATGGAAGGTATTCAGGCTTAATTAAGGGAACTGGAGCACAGATCCAATTTCCTAGATCAAGAGTCCCCCACCAGCATCAAGGAACCTTCCTTGAGGTTCTCTCAGCTCATAGACAAGTCAGAGTCTGGGAGAAATCAAGACTGATTCGATGAAAAGAAGGGTAGCTCCAGTTCCTTAGATCAAGAGCCCTTCCCCAGCATCAGGTACTAGTAATAATAATAGCAGTAACATACCATAAAACAAAATACTAAATTATTCATGACTCACTGTATATACATACACTTATATGTATACATATTTTGGTGTATATACCCTGCGAGATATACTGTATATGAACCTCAGTGTAATGGGTGGTTGGTTAATAGGAGGTTTAAAGCCTATCGGCTACACGAGGGTCATTAAGGCTGGCTTGGAGTTTTACGACTCACCAGCCGCGAGTTCAATCCCCACCAGTAGTATGTTTTGTTTGCAGTCGTATCATTACGATTTCATTAGTCTGCACTCTAAAGTTTTCACCACTAGACAGTGTTTTAAAAGCTGAGGTTGGAGAGTTGAAGGAGGAGGTCTTGCTTCTCCAGGAGGAGATTAGGAGGCTGAAGGTCCACCTCAATGGGCCTGGGAGAGAGTGTGAGGTGGTTGGAGATGTGGGGAATGAGGCTTCTAGCAGTGAGGTGCAGTCTGTCTCTCACTGTGAGGAGGCTGTAGGTGGGGTGGTAGCAACGGCTACCAGCAGTGAGGTGCAGCCCAGCACCTGCTACAAGTGGCGAGTTGTTCACAGTAATGGGAGGCGCATCAGAGTAAGGAAAGTTAAGAGTGCAGATCTGAAGGTAGGAAATCGCTTCTCTGTTCTCCAGGATGAATGTACTTCAGTGGCCAGTGAAGGTAAGGGTACTACTGCCCCTGCTAATGAAGGTAAGCGCATTCTTGTGGTTGGTGACTCTCAGGTAAGATATGTTGATCGTGCTTTTTGTAATAGGAATAAGAAGATGAGAGATAGAGTATGCTTCCCTGGAGCTGGTGTTGGGGACATTGTCAACAGACTGGATAATATCATGTCAGGTAATGGGAACAAGCCCATTATCTGTCTCAGTGCTGGTGGAAATGATATTGGGAAGGGTAGGAGAGAAGAGCTGCTAGATAAGTACAGGTCAGCTATAGATTTCATTAAGTCTAAGGAGGGATCCCAATCATATGTACATCTTGCCTAGAAGGGAGTAGGAAATGAATGGTTGTCTAGGGCAATTGGTGTAAATTGCTGGCTAGACAGATACTGCAAGGAACTTGCAATCCCATTCATTACAACTGGAACAACTTTTATGGCAAACATGATATGTATGCAAGGGATGGGGTTCATCTCTCTGGGGCAGGGGTGGTAGCACTTGCAGACTCGATTGAGAAGGCCATTGGTGAAATGCCTATGATTTTAAACTGATGGAAGATAGAGGTATGGGTGTGTGTGGGAAACAAGCAGGTTGCAACACTAGGGTTGGAAACAGTAAATGTATAAAAGGCATTCAGCATGAAGTTATAAATAAAGACAATAGAACAGGTCAGCAAACAAAGGGGGACAGCAGAGGGCAGCAAGGGACTAGCTCCCTTAAGGTTTACTATACTAATAGCAGGAGTGTTAGAAATAAGATAGATGAGCTAAGATTAATTGCAAGTGCAGGAAACATAGATATTATTGCTATAACAGAGACCTGGCTCAATCTGAAAGATAGAGAGATGCCCTCTGAATGTCACATACAAGGCTATAAATTATTCCACACTGACAGGGTCAACAGGAAAGGTGGTGGAGTAGCGATGTATGTCAGAGACAATTTAAATTGTTGTGTTAGACAAGATATTAAATTAGAAGCGTCAGCCACTGAATCTGTTTGGTTACAGCTTCTCGAGGGCCGAGAAAAACTAATTTTGGGTGTGATTTACAGGGCCCCAAATCTTGATAGGGAGTGCAGTAAACTTCTATGGGACGAAATTCGTAAGGCATCTACATACGAAAATGTTGTGCTAATGGGAGATTTCAACTATAGACAGATTGACTGGAGCAATTTGACAGGAAATTTAGAGTCGGGTGACTTTCTTGATACGATCCAGGATTGTTTTTTAAAACAGTTTGTGACAGAGCCAACTAGGGGAAATAACCTCCTTGACTTGGTTCTTGCCAGTAGGGAAACACTAATTAATAATCTTGAGGTTAATGATGAGCTTGGGGAGAGTGATCACAAATCACTCAGTTTTAACATATCATGGAATTCCCCTAATAATGGCAATCAAGTCTCCGTCCCTGACTTTCGCTTGGCTGATTTCATAGGACTGAAAAATTACTTAGGTGGGCTGAACTGGAATGACCTGACTAGGGGTCAGGTAGGTGGTGATGGTTGCCGATATGATGCTTTCCAGGGCATAGTTCTAGCTGCTCAGTCAAATTATGTTCCAAATAGGGAAATCAGATCAAACAAAAATGATCCTAAATGGATGAACAATAGATTAAAATATCTGATTGGTCAAAAGAGAGGCATATATAGGCAAATCAAAAGAGGAGAGGGGCAATTAAGAAATCGATATATTCAGTTAAAGAGAGAAATAAAAAAGGGAATTAGAAAAGCAAATAGAGATTATGAGGTTTAAAGTTGCAAGAGAATCGAAGACTAACCCAAAAAGGATTCTTTCAGGTATACAGAAGTAAGATCAGGGACAAGATAGGCCCACTCAAAAGTTCCTCGGGTCAGCTCACTGACAGTGATAAGGAAATGTGTAGAATTTTTAACACATACTTCCTCTCAGTTTTTACACAGGAGGATACCAGCGATATTCCAGTAATGATAAATTATGTAGAACAGGACGATAATAAACTGTGCACTATTAGGGTCACAAGTGACATGGTCCTTAGGCAAATAGATAAATTAAAACCTAACAAATCCCCAGGCCCTGATGAACTGTATGCAAGGGTTCTAAAGGAATGTAAAGAGGAGCTTAGCACACCTTTGGCTAATCTTTTCAACATATCACTACAAACTGGCATGGTGCCAGATAAGTGGAAAATGGCAAATGTGATACCTATTTTCAAAACAGGTGACAGGTCCTTAGCTTCGAACTATAGACCAATAAGCCTAACCTCCATAGTGGGAAAATTTATGGAATCAATAATTGCCGAGGCAGTTCGTAGCCACCTTGAAAAGCATAAATTAATCAACGAATCTCAGCATGGTTTTACAAAGGGGCGTTCCTGCCTTACGAATTTATTAACTTTTTTCACTAAGGTATTTGAGGAGGTAGATCATGGTAATGAATATGATATTGTGTATATGGACTTCAGTAAGGCTTTTGACAGGGTCCCACATCAGAGACTATTGAGGAAAATTAAAGCACATGGAATAGGAGGAGAAATTTTTTCCTGGATAGAGGCATGGTTGACAAATAGGCAGCAGAGAGTTTGCATAAATGGGGAGAAATCAGAGTGGGGAAGCGTCACGAGCGGTGTTCCACAGGGGTCAGTGTTGGGCCCCCTGCTGTTCACAATCTACATAAACGACATAGATGAGGGCATAAAGAGCGACATCGGCAAGTTTGCCGATGACACCAAAATAGGCCGTCGAATTCATTCTGACGAGGACATTCGAGCACTCCAGGAAGATTTGAATAGACTGATGCAGTGGTCGGAGAAGTGGCAGATGCAGTTTAATATA